TTTATCCTGTTTATGTGAAGACCAAAGATACAGTTTTTTTTCATTACCTCCTGAGGCTAGCATCTACCCATCAGGTGACCATTTCAAACCACAAACTTCTTATTTGTGGGCTGACTGTTTCAGAAAAGTAATTTCCCTTTAATCGCAAATCTCTCTACAATATTAGTTTATCTCTTGAGCCACTACTCAGCACATTATCTGAAAAGCACAATGTCCCTACTCTTGCAATGTGTCCCTTGTAAGTGCGAACTCTCTATAATTTAATAGCATCCCAAATTTAGACTTCTCCTGTCTTGGTTCCAACAGCCAAATGCGGTCCTCTAAGTGACCATGCCACACTTGTAACTGAATCATTATGGAGATCCAACAATTTTGTAACTTTCGAAGATTATGCATTCCTGAAATTATTAATAGTCATTTATACCATAAATATACGCAAGAATTCAATGCAACTGATAAGGAATTCTAGTTGCTCCAATCAATCAGATTCAAATAAAAATCATCTTAAAGTTGTGGTGCATCAAGAACTTTAAATGGAACTTTCGGTATTTTTCGCACATACTTACCGTAATAATTAGAGAGAGTTTCTGATATTGTGAAGTACTTATGATCTATCAGAATACTAGTGATATTATTAATTATTGCATCTACCTGTTGTAAATTTTGGAGTTGTGGATGTCGAAATTATTCTGCTGATTGTATTAAAATCCACTTTGATTGATAAATTACATTGAGTCTGACTCAAATATGGGTTCCTATTCCAGTATTTACTATTTATAAAGCATCTCCAATGCCATTTGTGCTGATGCAATGTCTTGGCTCTCCATTTAGTTTTCCTGAATGATACTAAAATTCTTCTTTAATTGTGTAACAAATCGATCTCCTAAGAAGGATTTCTGCCTTTTACAATCAGTGCTACTCAAATTGTATTGGTTCTCTTGCTTCACTTATTGATGGTTCTATTATTGAATTGAGGTATCATTGCATAAAGCTTAATTGGAAACAGTCTTTAATATAAATCATCACTTTTTACTTGGCTTTTCAATTTGGACATTTACAAACAAAATATTTATATATTTATTAAATATAAATAAACTTTCACTTTTACCAATAATTTTCAAATATATTAATTATGTAACAACGATTAAAAACTCACGCAATCACTGAAGAAGCCAGACAATCTAGTTCCGACCTTCTCAGTCCCTTACATGAGATGTATTAAATAAGGAGGAATGTGATGAAACTAGAGAAACAACGAACTGATGAAAGTTGTCATCGCAAATCAGAGGAATTCATCAAGAGCATCAGTCAGTCTCATAGGGATGTGATAATCCCTCAGCATCTTAATTTTGAGGATAATCTTGATGGTAGTAGAGCAACCATCAATTCCATTAACTCTGTTGCATAGCATTATGAAATCATCAAACCAAACCTTCATAACATTGATTGGAATAAGGAAAACAATTAAAATTAGAGCAATAAGAATAAACACCATTAAAAATGTGATTCAAACAAACACAAAACCAAATATGTCTAATTAGATAATTAACGTCAATAAATTAATAAAACTATTCAATAAGTACTGCCTTAATGATTAATTGAATAGATGTCCAAGTGCAATCGACAATTAGCCATTGTGCTGAAGGCCTAAGTCGACAAATTATTCGATACTATCAAAACTGACTATACCTATGCTTGAAATGAAAATTAATATATTTAATTAAAAACCAAATTTATGATGAATTTATCATATAAGTATTCTTCATAATAACTATTTCAATCACATTTCAAATATCTATCCAAAAGTATAATCGCTAAATATATCAAAGAGATTGAATTTTTTCAAAGAATTTCCTTTTTATAATTAATATAAGGTTTTGGCATAAAGATTAATATATGATGTAGTTAAAAAGAAATGAATAAAACATTGATCATTCGACAGGTTTTTTTTCTGGAACTTTTACAATCTTCTTGTATTTTTATTGAATATCTGCAAAGGTTTCTTCATCTTCTAGATTTTTTAATTTACTAATTGTATATAATTACATTTACTCTAGCAACTAAATAGATGAGGAATATTGCAAATTAATTAATTCTCCCTTCTATGTTTAATTAATCTATTGAAACTTCTATTTAGAAATAGTTTGATAAGTAAGAATGTATTCTTATTCGTCTTTCCTTTTTTTCAATTTGTTTTAATTCTTAGTTAAACTGTCTAATTATTACGTTTAATGTTTCTCCTAGAATTAATAATATTCACTACTTCTTTCTTCTTAATAAGTTGAAAAAATTCTAAGTGATCTTTTTTATTTTAAATTCTTTGTTCCTTGAAAGATTTCCATTCTTCACTTTTTTTGGTTTAAAACTTTTCAATTCTATCTTAAATGCTTTTCAATTTCTCATCCCATTCTTCAATTTTTTCTTACTATTTTTCTTCTGATTGCTTATATCTTTCTCTCTACTTTGTAAATTTTTATTGATGTTCATTCTTTTTAGATTATGACATTTTCAACAGTAACTGTTCATGATCTTCTAGCAATTTCTCTGATTTAGATAGTTTCCAACCAACTTTATTGAATAATTCATATTCCTTTTCTTCTCTTTCTTATTTAATTTTTAGATTAATATTGCTCAACTTCTATTCAAAGTACTATTGCTTTTCCAACCTGTTTTTTTCC